TTTAGTTAAATATAAACTAATCCAAGCTCTATTTTAATAATAACAGGAACAGTCTAGCACAGTCGAGCCAATCTCCGTTTAAAAGCCAGAAATAGTAATTTCTAGAATAAAATTGAATCGTCTATTAACTTTTAAAGGAATATTTTTAATTAAATGCTTTTTGAATTGATATTTTATTGACTTAATATTGGTTTTTTTTTTTACTTTTTACGTAAGATAGATTTAGTTGCATGTTCGAGTAGACTTTTCGCCTTCAGCTGACGAGTCTAGTGTGTGGTACAGTCTTCCGAGTTTAAGAAACCTCCAGCATTTAATAATTTTAATTGTTAATTAAGGATTTATGAATGGATTATGAACAACGGACTGAGCCTAAATCTAAGTATGGCACCCTTAAGGAAATTTCTTATTTCTGCGCTTAGATTTTATTCCATCATTCTCTCCTTACGTCTCTTATAATGATAGGAAGGTCATTTGGATTCCTTAATCCATTTATGGTAGGCTAGGCACCAACATCTTGATGGTCTTCGGGGAGCTGTCACAGAATTTGAGCGAAATTAGGAGGCTATTTGTTCGTTAGCTTTTCTTAAATTGATTTATCATTTTTAGTTTTATTTGTTATATACATAATTCTGTCAAATCTGACGTCATTTTTAAGGACTGGATTTTTCCTAAACGAGACTACGGCGTTTAAAAATATAGCAATACCTCATCAAGTCTATCGGATAAGGAAAATAAACAAAGACTACAAAATGAAACTATTATTTGTGTTTTTTTAATTTTTATTTCCACTACGTACGCTTTCGCGAATACATCATTAATATAGAACTGTGATAGACAATTGATTATAATTAAATCGTATGTTCGTGAAGAAACTCTATTTCAATATATTGAAAACATCTCGTCGACAATAATTATCATTCAAAATATGTTATCTGTGATTAAATATATCATTTGAAACATTTATATCGCTACATAATATTTTTTTTTCAAAACAGTTTACCGGAAAATCTTTGCAAAGTGCTCATCTAGAATGTATTTTCCAACAATAAATATTGAATATCTTCTACATATTTGCGAGTAAATGGATAATCTGAAATATATTTTTCATCTACGTTTGTTAACAATTTATATAATCTGGAATGTAATTGGAATAAATATGTTTTAATAACAATCTTTCATCTACTATTTTTAATATAATCTGAAACATCTGATCTACTGTTAACATTTAATATAATCTGGGATGTAATTTGAATAAATATATGCAATTTTAATAAGAATTCTTCATCTACTACATTATAATATTTCATATATATCTACTGTACTGCATATCGTCTAAAGTTACGATAATATCAAGAACAATTTTAAAGACATCAAAGTGATAGTGACAGTTCACACTAATACAATATTTTCATACATTAAAAGCATTTTAATACTAAAATCACTATATAATGTGATACTTATATAATAAGAAGCAAATACAGATTAAATAATGTTACTGTTACAAAAATTTTCTTTGAATTTCATCAATAAAATAAAACATGATTTGAATATTAACGACTCATTTGATAAGTTTAAACAGCATGTAAGGAGTAAGGGAATTATATTTCTTTTATGTTTCAATCAATATCAGCTATCAATTACCAAGTAATGTTTACCATTTTAATGGTTTAAATTTTTTGAATAAAAATAATGTGCATCATAAGAAGCATGAAATATAGGTTATAAAAGTATTGTCGAACCTTAATCAACATCTTAAAGAGGATAGTCGATTAAAGGATTACAAGATCACAAGAAAGCACATTTTAGTTATATATATTAACAATGTATACATTTATAAACAAAATTATACAAAAACATTATAATATATAAAGGGATTTTAAATGTGAAATATGTATACATTATATAAATAGATATATATGTTATGCTATCTCTGAGCAACACCACAACCCTGAAGAGAGTAAATATTTAAGAAGAATATAGATATAAATTAGAGGCGATAGATTTTATTTGGACTAATTTATATAATTTTGTATATTTTTAAAAGTTATCGTCAATGTAAATTGACAGTTATAAGTAAATTTTTTTCCAATCAAAAAGTCTACTGGATTTTTTTTATATGGAACTTGTTCCATATCTTTAAATACGTGACATAAAAAGTTAATGTGAATTTTCAATTATTAATTTCAATGACAAAGTTTTCTTTTATATGAAAAAAGGTTGAATTTAATTCCGAAATGTATCAAATCAAGTTGTTTTTAGAGTATATATATAGAAAAGTTTGATAGAAAGGCTTTATAGGATAGTTTTAAATGTAAATTTTAAAATAAAAAGTAGTTTTTCGTCTAAATTCATAGACAGTTGTTATTCATACATAGCTTACCCCTATTTCTCACTTTCTGGACTTTCTTACCTCCTTACCTACACTTAATCCTTCATACAATCACCATGACAATAAATATTTTATCCTTATTTAATAGGAATATTTATGTATATAAAAATAGTGCCTATTTTAATATTATATTGATATTTTTTTAAAAATAATATACAATACATTAAATACAAATCATACCGGTTTTTAAATAATTTTATATTTACGTTGGTGGAAAATAGTTTGTATAAATATTAAATTATTCCAACTTTCGTGAGACATTATACTAAACTGATATAAAAACGGCTAAACGTTCACGTATATTCGTCCGGTGGCGGCACCGACTGGTTTCGAGCCCATCGGGGGCACTTCATCGGGATGAGTGGTACTGGTATTATTTCGCGGACGCGGCCCGTCGCTCACTGAGCAGTGAAATAATACCAGTACCACTCATTCCGATGAAGGGCCCCCGATGGGCTCGAAACTAGTCGGTGCCGCCACCAGACGAATATACGTGAGTGTTTAGCCGTTTTTATATCAGTTTTGTATAAATATCATTAAAATTCTGTTAAAAACTTTTTTAACATAAATTTGTAAATATGGAATAATTTGTGCAAAATTTAGTGATAAAAATAATATTATTTAAATATTGAAAATTAATAAACATATAATAGAATATAAATATTATGTGAAAATAAAAATAAATAAATATGATAGATTGAATTAAAGAAATGATAACATTAGGCAATATGATGTACAAAAACATGCGACATTACAAGATACTTTGATAAAATTTAACTTAAAATATACAAGTTACAGTTCAATATAAATTAAAGTTTATCATTCCAAGTAATCTTAATGTTGGTAGTAGAATTTGCATCAGTTTTTCCATTTAACAAAAAAGCAACCCGCTTCAAATCGATTACAAACTTTGATTTGTTTCGATTTGTTTAGAGCGGGTACAGATGACTTCAAACTTTTTTACTTTATACAAATATATATCCAACTTGTATGAAGGAAATAACAACCTCATTTCATTCCTTGCAATCTTAATATTCTTATTTTTTTTTAAAGTAAGAATAGGTACTATATTGAATTTAAAAACCAATATGACAGAGTAATAAAGAATGATGTTTAGTTTTGTGCTTTTCAAGTTGATCATTCAGAGAAGTAAATTTCGAAAGTAAAGATCGAACAGCTTTAGTGCCAATATAAAGCAAAACTCGTGTTTGAATCAGTGCAAAGCGCAATTGTATTACTCAATGTGATTACCTCAGTGATATTGTGAAACTGAAATCAAACGACACATTCGGGATTGCCGGAATGATACGGACATTGGTCTGTTATACTCGTATGTTTCTAGATAGTTATTAACACGTTCGCTGCCATGTCTGCCAGTAAAAATGACATTGAGTGAATTATCAGATATATCATTCGTTATTTATTGTTAGCGTGTTAACTTTTTGTACGAGTAAACGTGTTAGATCGACCATACACGGACAAGCAACTTTAAGCAGTCGGCGTGCAACATTTTTAGCGGTGACAATATTGCTGGCACAAAGCCGACTGCTTTAGCTACTGTCTTGAGGCAGTCCGTGTAGGACTTTGTTATTCTATTGTCCTTGATCATGATATTAATTAAAATTAACATGTCCATAAAACTGAATGTAATAGAAGCATAAGGTAAAGGTGTGGGCACGATGCGACGAGGTACGGGCGGGCGGCGAAACGCGGCAATATCCGCTCAGTCCTCGTATGCTTCTGCCCGCAACCCTTAATGTTAATTATTTTCTGTTTATGTACGTCCAGAAAACAGCTGATACTGCAAGCAATCACAACAAATAGTGATTAAAATTCAACAATAGGTAAGACGGAGTTATTGACCCCCGCCCGCCCGTCCCACTACAAGCTCAAACCATCCATTACACGATGCCAGTAACCCACCAACAGCAAACGACAAAATCTAAACAATTCACACGCAAACTATGATAAGCACATCACTATGATAAGGAAACATATAAAAGACGTAATAAGGTTATAGTTTATGTAAATCATATTTAGAGAAGAGGGAAAATTTAATTTATGATATGAAAAATATATAAGGAAAGTATATGACAGTTACAACGGTACATTAGTCGCTTTAATAGTGCAATACAAACCATCCATTTATTTAGGACATCGATAGAAATCATAGAATTGTGAAGAACTAATTTCCACCTTTTAGGAGATACATCAATTATCTACGTGTTTGGGTAAACATTACATTCTAAAACTTATTTAAAGACGATTTCGTCAAAATGCATAATATTATTTTAATTTTTTTTTGTTTAACAAACATACACTACGTAATAAAAGCGACTAAAACTATATTAAAGTTGTTCACAGATAAGATTTTGATCACCCGTATACATTTATCTTAGTAGAATAAATATAAAATAAATTATAGTTTTTGTAAAAAGAAATTAAAAACCAATTATAACATCAGATAAACATGTAATTATTACGTTAATTTCAACAGCCGAAAAAAAAACTTATAACAATTTCTTTTATAAAACGAATGTTTCAGTAGAAACCTACGGTTATAATGTTTTGAAAATTTAGGTCTAAATAAATAAATAAATTAAATATTTTAAATAAATAAATAAAATGTTAATTGATTCGGTCAAGTTTATATTCTTGCTTTTATTATCATAACTGAAATTTTATTGAGCGGCCATTTTCATTGTCATTTCACAAACTGTATTTCACTCTCGTGTTTTACGAGCGAAACGTAGGCCTTTCAAATAAATTAAAGTGCTCGCGGTTAAGAGCCCCTATTCTTTTATATTGAGCCATAATATCCATCGATGTGGACTGAAATTGCTTTTAGTTTTTGGCACATTTTTAAATCAATATTATGAATGTTTGTTTTTAAATAATAATTGTGATGGTTTAACTGTTATTATAGTCACTAATTAATATATTATCAAGTTATTTATTTCGTTGATATTTGAGGTTATCATTTTTTTAATGTTTCCTTTACACAATGACAAATTTTCGAACCTTTATTTGAATCATAATTGTAGTAAATTATTAAAATATAATAATAAAAGGCATAATCGAAATAAAATATTTAAAACGGAGAAATCTTGGATTACCACATATGAGTTTAACACAATTTACGAAGAATATTTTTGAAGCTATAGAAAATGATGTTGATATGTTTTCGGTTAATCAATTTAAAGCTCGGAGTGTTTCTCTCACGTCGACAGGCATATCGTATACATAATCAAAAACATTCTCGATGTTAATTAAAGCAAATTATCATTTGGTTCGTATATAAATAATCTTTATATAAATAACATACATAAACTAAACACACGTACTCTAAGAAATTAAATGCAAATAAATCTAATTTGTTACATAACATGAACAACATAGATACTACAGAACATAGAGGGATCGGACGGGGATCGCCGTTGCCGAAGAAATAAGACGTATTAGAGCATTTAGGTTAGTCGGTGTAGCTACGGTCGCCCGGCGAGAAGAAGTTTTGCGCAGACGGCCGCATCCCCGATGGTTTAGCTGAGGGTCTAACGAGTAAGTGTAATATTCAGAGAGGGGCATTTGCGCACGGCCATGGCGGTCTGATGCAGGGCGTTGTAGCCGGCGGCGGTGGCGCTCTGGATGGCTCCGAGCGGCGCGTGCATGTGCGCCTGCATGCTGTGGTGCGACCCTATGGGGAGGTGCCTTACCATGCCGCTGCTGATCTGCTGCAGCAGACCGGACCCACCCTGGGCGCTTGCGCTTCCGCTCGCGCACGATGGACGCCGCGAACGAATAGACTGCATCGAAGACGTCAGCAAGAACGGCACGCTGGACGATGTATTGGGCATCGAACCCCCCTATTCATTGTACGCACAATGATTTAGAATCGTCACAATGGAAAAACACATTCGGACAACAAGCATATCAGTAAAATATCATAAATACAAAAAGAGGACACAAAAATATATCATTATATCTTGAAAAACTGTCTAATTTCTGACATCTGCATCGCTCGAGTTGTAACCATCTGCACATATTGTAGAAACGATTAAAAATGCTTGATGTGATTTTTGCATCGCTTACTTTGTTTGTCTATTCAATTGGGTACATTTTAAATAAAAATGTTTACTTGCAAATTTTTTGCTTCCAAGCGTAATATTTCTGTTCGCATAATATCATTTTTCAATTGGATGAATCAAGAAAACCATTAAATTTCAACAACGCACATATTTCGAATATTTTAATACGATATATTAAAATATTTCAAACATGTAACAATATATTGCATAGTGATCTAAACGTTTACATGCTATAAGCTTTATAAAATATCAAATTAAGCTGTACCTATTATGAAAATGTGGCGTAAGCAAAGATGATGAGAATGATATCATCGACCGCCATACCTGTTTTGTAGCAAGACGTTGCAATATATCGAGCTTCTAGAGCATGCTTAATACTGTCTCATCCTTCTGTTTAAGCACGATTTACGATGTTTGTTGATGTTTATTTCGACTACACTATCACTAAGATGTTGCCGATATATATCTAAAAAGCCAATTTTAAAATTGGGGATTTACTTATTCAATCAAGCATCTAAAAGTGTGTTTTGTTGAAGCACTTGCAATATTTCATTATTAAATATCCAATCCCAATAAAATCTTTTTAAAAAAACTTTTTATTTCACAGTTGCGTATCTGATCTTAATTGTTTTAATTGAATTGCAGGACCTACTTCTTGCATTTAAGGATGGCCACCGTTTTAATGAGTAGAAATCTCACACATGTCTTTCCCCCAAAAGGCTTTTTTCCTTTTGAAGATTTCTTCCGAAATCAAAGAAAAAGACCTATAATTCTGGTATTTGATGCTAAAAAGCTGTCGTTCGGATTCAAAATCACACGACTTTTATAAAACACTATATTGACGCAACCCAGAGCAACTTATTTAATATTGAAGGAAGTTTATATTTACTAAACAAACTTGACGGAACAAGCTAAATATTATCATCATACGAGCTTATTCTAAATAATGGTATATTAAAAATTGGCACAAATCCGCTGCGTTATTTGATTAAGAAAAAATATAAGGAAGTATGATAAGTAAATCTGGCAACGTCTTAGTGTAAGTGTACGGAAATAATCAAAGAAATGAAAGAAGTAGAAACTGTCTGACACTTGTAGAAGAGGAGTCATACTCACGATCATGCTCCGTGCAAGCTGCGTAGAAGAACAAATAGCAACAGTGAATGAGACAGCGTTATACATTACGGCTTCAAGCCATTTCATTAATGATGATGAAGGCACACTTTTTTTCTCTTTACTTACAACGTTGCCAGATGACTCTTGCCCTGTGTAAATGCAAATGATCGTAGGAGCATTCGGTACTGTTTGTTTGTTATTTAGATCTTGAATTATATATTTCTATTGTTTTTAAATAAAAGGAATTTCGAAAATCAAAACCATAATAGCCAATATGTAACCAAATTAAGAAGTTAGTCAACGGTACGGAGTTAAATTGTATTAGTCAATAGTGAGTTGCTTTTGTGAGTTTATTCAAATAATGTAATCATATTAACTCCTTGAATTCGAAGGAATACGTAGGATATTGCGAGGCGCTCATGCATCAGTTTAATCACTGGCAGTTACTGGGCATGCATCACTTCTTTATATCTCAAGGTTATTTGAATCGATGACGCAGGTGTGTGACAGCATTGATGTAATGTGATGAGGGGACAAATGATCAGACAGACAAAGTTCGAAACGTGTGATAAAAACGCCAACCAGGTTCGTGCAAATGTACGAGTGAAATGAATATATGATCGATGAGACATTATCTCTCCCTGTCAGTTTGGGAAGAAGACGCAACCGCAAAAGAGGACAGACCACATAAAATACTAAGCCGTTCAAGTCGACATTTAATAGAGGGTTGAGCGACAGTGCTCAATCGGGTAGGCGCACGGGTGGCTTCACTTACGACGGGATGGGAGGTCGCCGGCACTGACAGGCTCGAGCCTGAACCACCGCGTCCTCTGAACTGGTAGCCCTGCCAAAACAATACCGTCACTTCACCGTTATCAACGACAATGCTGCGTACCTTTTCAGCGTCTACGCGGACTCAGTGTGTCCAATGGTGTTGTGTCAGGTTGTAGTTAATTGTGAATATTATGTCTGAAATGCTACAATTTTACTAGGACTTACCGTTGGCGGCGATAGATTAACAGCGGATGCACGACGTTCCTGGGGGCCAATGCTGGAGTGGCGGCGTGAGGGCAGGCCCGAATTATTGCCACCTGGAGTCCCACCCGGAGAGGACGCACAAGACGGTGCAATGCGAATCTTAGGTGTCATTAGAGTGTTATCTGATAGACGGCGATTGGGTGAAGCGTTGCCGACGCGCAGGAAATTGCTATCGTTATTAGCGGAGCTGCTCGATCCGAAAAACCACTGACCGAAGCCTTTACCTGTGAGGGTGAAGTAATTGTTCATAATATTAAAAAAATACAATTTGTACAGAATTTGACTTACCCAGGGCAAATTTGTTTTTAAAGGCACCAATGCCGCTGATGGGGCTAGGGCCACTGGCGGAGTTTTTACGCGCCATGTCCTCGGCGCTGGAGGTCTTGCGCTGCTCGACGCGTAGGTTGGGGATGTTGAACGGCGGGGCGTTCATGTTATCAGTGCTTCGCTGGTGTCGCAGGGCCCGGTAGCGGTCGGGGCTTCCGGTGCCAAGCCCTTCCATTCTCATTTTATGACGTTGATTCTTATCGATGTTGTCCAGCATGTCATACAATATCTACAGAAACAATATACATTTGTAATATCGAATGGTTGAACTACTGAATAAAGCTTTTACATTCTTTGGTAGAAAGTAGTTTCACTTTTTATTGGGGTCAGTAAGATGGGAGTGTATTCATTCGGAATCTGATTGAAAATGACCCCGAGACTTCACTTTATAGTATCGTAAAACTTCACGGTTCTGTCGCTTTGGAAACACACCTGTGAATTTCTATAAATTCTGTCGCAATACATTTATCTATAAAAATACAATGTTGTATATTATGTTTCATAATAATTAAAATGAATAAAATTCGCATTGGTTTAAATTATTTTGGAACTTATTTTTCTGATAAAATCACGTGGTTTAACTAATTTTAATATAAAGTACTTTACATTAAAGATCGATTATACTAATACTAGTAAAGCTCCGTATTGTATTTATATTATTGTGTTCAAGTCTATAAACGATTGTAATATTATATAAATATTTTTAATAATAGGTAGTTTTTTTTTAACTCAAAATAGATATTACTACCTCCATTAGGTTGCCGAACTGTTCGATGTTCAAACCAGGATTGACGGTCTGCGGTGCCAAAGATGGTATCATTTGAGTTGCCATGGCACAAGGCGTCAATCCAAACTTCCTTTCCATTAGGATCGCCTTATAAAGCTCTGGAATTAAAATTAACCTTGGCAGATCGCATTGTTAAAATTGTCACATAAATCGCGTCAGATCAAACAAAACAAGATATCTTCGCTGCGCTGTGATAAAACCGCATTTGCTATAATCGCCAAGCTTATTCTTTGGAAGAATCAATTTTAATTAAACACAAAACGCATAGGCACTTTAAATAAGATCTGTATTGTAAACGTTTACAACATCTTAGAAAGTCGCTACATTAATACGCTTAAAGAACCAATTCTCCAGTACTTACTGACGACCCGATTGACAATGTCGGGGTCGCTCAGCCGCATGGCGAGCAGGGTTGGGATCACGCTGTCTGTGATGTTGTCACGTTCCAGTCTAGAGAGAACCTTCTCGTAGAATCCGAGGGTCAAACTGATGATCTTAACATCGCTCTTGTTCTTTTCGAGCAATATCTTCACTTTGCCCACCACAACGTTTCGCAAATCCTCGTCTTCCACGTATTCGTGGACAGATTGCAGTGCAATCAGAGTCGCCGTCTAATCAGAGAATATTTTAAAAATCATTGTAATGTAGTAATGAGTAAGAAACAAAACAGTAAGACCTGATCCAACTAACTTTATCATTGGGTCGTCATTCTGTCTGTAAATTATTTTTATTTTCTAAATATAAATCTTACAGAATATACAATAAAAGTCACGTCCTCAGACGGAGTATGACGCCAATACTAATTTTGTTAATTTCGTCGAAAAATAACAATTGCAGTTAGAGTACCTACTTGTAAGTAAGGCTATGAAACTATGCACACATTATGAAGAATCTCCAGTTTTTTTGGTACCTGGATCTGGTGAGCCTTATGGTCCATTGACCTGTACAGCATTGGCATAAGCTCATTGGTGATCATTTCTTCTTGGGCCTTCTTCAAAATGATATGCAAATTCTCTAGCAACGTTACAGATGCTTGGATACTTTTCGGAGAATTCATTAGGTTCCTGTGGAGGTAACCGTTTATTTTCTAGATAAAATCTTTTAGAAAGTGAAATTTGCATGAAAAACAACTTATGCTAAAGCAGTTCCCAATTTAGATGATATTTAAAAAAGGTTATGGGTACTATACAAAAGTGCTTAAAAGTAATCGAACATGATTTTTACGCAAATTAATCCATTTCTATTAGTTGCTCGTTGTCGTTGAGAAGCAATAAAGTCATAATAAGAGCGTCGGTGACTCAGGGGTTGGAATCCCGCCATGTACCAATGTGTTTTTCGATTTCCGATTTACATATGTACATTTATCCGACGTTCTTACGATGAAGGAAAACATCGTGATGGAACCTGCACATATCTAAGAATAAATTCAAAGATATGTGTGAAGTCAACCAACCCGCACTTGGCCAGCGTGGTTGACTATGGCCTAATCACCCTTAATTTAAGGTAAGCTCCGAGCCCCTCGGTGGGGACGTATAACGAGCTGATGATGATGATGAAAGACATAATTATAAATGAACAATAAAAACAAAATTAAAAGGTTTTTGTTTCATCGATAAATGTTTTAAATGTTTTTATCACATTTTTAATAAAATAAATGTAATTGATAGTTATAGTTACCAGTAGATCCTGTGTATGCAGAGAAAAAAATCGTGCTTTAGTAAATGATGAAATAATTATACGCCAAAACTGAAAAATATATTATTTCTATAACTAACTGGTAGTAATAATTGTAAAATATAAAAGTATAAAATTAATGAGCCACAAAAAAGATGCTTCAGTAAATGTTTAGTACGTTTTAAAACTCAACCAACCATGGTAATGGGTAATTCTCGATTGAATGTGTTGGTTATATGTCATTAGGATAACTTTACGAGTAGGAAAATATCATGTAACTTTGGAACTTTATGCCTTTTATTTTAGTACATTTTCATTCAATTGATGCAAAAATATGCTTGCTTGTTTCATCGGTTAGTTTTAATTCTTATCTATAAGTAATCTAGCATTGGTCAATGGTGGATCCATAACATCCTTCCTAACAAGATTTCGCCTTGATTGTACGACATGGCAAAAGAGTAAGTCTAGTAGGTATTTAATGTATTAATTACTTCAGAACGGGAAGAACGTAGTTATCGAACTCCTCATGAGTGGCTTCATTAGTGAGCCAGATGATGGGCTGCAGCACAGGCGCCAGCACCTCGGCGGTCCTTACTTCCATTTGCAGTGCCGGCCATACATGTTGCCAACGCAGTTTCTATAGCATCGCATTGGTCAGTCGAAGAAAATGAATTGAAAGCAGTTGAATGTAAGAAGACTGATAGAGTCTAACTAAAAAGAGATAGAGTACCTTCGGAATGTAGGGCAATGCTTCCAGGAGCATGGTGGTATAGAAGTTGGCTTTCTGGTGCGGGTCCTTCATGGTGATCACGTCCAAGAACTGCATCGCTTGGATTGCCGGCTCGCTCTGACACCTGGGCGATAAAACGGTCGTAATACTATTTTATAATAGTAGATTTATTTCCCAAAAAAAAAAAATCTTAATGAATTTTTCTATCTTGGAAATATTTTGGTTAAAACTCTAACGTTATGTAATAATAAGATAATGTAAATTTTGGGCGCTTGTAAAATTTTAATATGACTATAATATGCATAATCACTGGTACATTGCAGAACATTTTTATTTTCCTTTATTGGATATATTTAAAGAAACATCCCTCATCTACAGCTATATTTACTTGAAGTATTTAATCAGTGGCAGGAGTTGGGTGGTCGGACGAGGGTGGGGGTCCCTCGAGAGTAGACGCTGCGTTGCCTCTTGAAGGCCGCACGGCACGCGCGTCAGTACAGCATTCACTTGTTGCTCCAACTGTACACGCCATACATATTATAGTAGATATAGTTTAAGTCATTGGCCGTACGTATGTTGTAACTTCTGAACATTATTAAGATATAAAAACTCAAACTAATCGAAGAAAACTTATCTTCATAGTAATCTTACTAATATTATGAATGTTTAGATGGATGGATAGATGTTTGTTTGAAGGTATAGTAATTTGGCATAGATGTAGAACATAGTCTGGAAGAACACATAGGCTACTCATTATGTTTTTTCTTTAAATTCAGCGTGGACGGAGGAGCGGGCGACAGCTAGTAATTTAAAAACTAAAATTTGTGATAGAAATAATCTATTTATGAAACGGCCAGAAATCTAAGTATTTTATTTTTCAGAGATATACATATCTTATGGTTAAACTACTAAAGTTATGAATAATGTTGAAACTTATTTACTAATTGCAGTTCGCCGTTAACTATGAAAGTTAGATGCTAAAGGTTAATGTTGGGAAAGTTTCTCGCCACATAAATCACTAATAGGGGTTGTCGTTGGACATGTATAATGGTAATTAACAACGGACATATTTCTAGTTAAATATCACATAGACTTAATAGTCTAGAATATTTGTAGGGGGAGGAGGAAACAAGCTGCGGGATTTTTTATATCATTAGGAAACTAATCATTTATATGTATATTAACTTTATAAGGAAAACTTAAAATTAACATAGTAAGGAAAGGATGGGAAGGGAAAGAATACAAAAATTAAGATTTCGGCATTACATCAATGAAGTGTTGCCGGTCCCTAGAACCCTAAGTCGTTACTGTTTGGATATATCGTTGAAGACATACCACTTATGCAATTCTTAGTCTAAATATCACTTACGTAATCCATCTGCTTCATGTAGAGTATCGGATTGTTGTTGGCTTGGATCAGAGACTTGCCGCAGTTAAAGATGGCGCAGATGACAAGGCCCAGAGAAAACATATCCGACAATATGTTGCATTGTGCGTTAGTCTGCATTTCTGGGGCTGTTAGAAAAAATACAAATGTATTAGATATCTTACAATTTTGAATATTCTGTGTAAAGCGAAGTTCAATGTAAACATCGATTAGTTTCGGGCCACCTGGGGGCAAGTCATCAGACTGATTGGGACTGGAATGTTAGCTTCCGGTCAACATCCGCCTCGCACTGACCTGCGTGAATTGGTGTAAGGGGCCCTAAAGTAGTCGGCATTTAAACTAAATTGCACCTTGTAAACTAATAAAAATATAAATTTATAATTTACCCATGAAATCCAGGTTAGGCTGGCAGAACTTAGCCACCTTGACGGACCATGGCACCACGGGAACCATATCAGTCGGGTCCGGGCCCGTTATGTCCTCTGTATAAAATAAATTATGTTGTAATAAAAAATTCTAACTGTGACATACCCATCAAACGATTTAAATACTGGCAGTAGCTTTCATTATCTTGATTGCCTATCTTTTGATATGATCATATGATACTAGAATAGCATTTTACCGAAGTGGATAGGAAATAATCGTCCTCGACTGTACTAATTGCCGCTGCTATTAATACTAATTATAAGTTTGGCTTTAACATTAAGCGAACCAAATCGATCTCCTACACGTGGGTTAAATGGGGTTAAATCGAAAGTGGAGCGTAAATGTTATTGTAATATTGATAGTGTTTTCATCATCATCAGCTCACTATACGTCCCCACCGAGGGGTTCGGAGCCTAGCCCAAGTTAAGGATGATTGAGCCATAGTCATCCACGCTGGCCAAGTGCCGGTTGGTTGACTTCACACATATCATTGAATTACTTCTCAGATATGTGCAGGTTGCATCACGATGTTTTCCTTCACCGTAAGAACGATGGATAAATGTACTTATGTAAATCGGAAATCGAAAAACACATTGGTACATGGCGGGATTCGAACCCAGGATCTGCCGATTGCAAGTCAAGTGCTTGACCACTGAGCCACCGACGCTCGATAGTGTTTTAGATATTAATTTCAAGCAATATGAAATAGCGTAGCAATTTATCCATATAATAAGCATAATCTCTTTTAATATTAATTTTAATGTTCCCACTGTTAAGTGATTTTATCAGGTACAATACGTTTTGTTGTGACTAGATTTTTAAAGTAAGGTGTCATTGAATACGGATTTTGCCCCCCCATTTTACCTTGGGTTGTTTGTGTTTTGGAAAAACCCGTAAAAAATTGTTATGCTTTATTCCATGAGATGAGGGATTATATCTCACATATCTATATGAAACTGAACACCCGGATAATTACAGTCAAACCGGTTTGTTTTATTTTATATATATATGTCACAATGTTAGTTACCATAATCTTCCGAAACGACCTGGCATATTTTATATCAGTATTCAATAGGTCAGAGAATCGGCAACGATATATGTTATAATCCCGCGCGAACGGAGTCTCGGTCGATAGCTAGTACTAATTTATCCAACGAAGCATTGTTTTAAAGATATGTTTTTTTTTTTAAATAGTACCGAACTTAGTATTTATTTAAAAAGAAAATATTGTACGTGAAAGGTACGTTCAATTCAATCAAGATTTAATTAACTGTTGTCAATTGATGTGATTAATTCTACGTAGCGTAGATTAAATCGCATATAGGAGTATCTCACAAGTATCAAACAATTTTGTTTTGATACAATTTTCAATGTAATCATAATTTGATCCCCCGTTCGTGCGAAGCCTCGGGCGTTAGCTATACTCACCTACTTTAATTAACGCCCCCAACGAGGTTCTATCTATATTTACTAGAATTTTTAAAGCCTTGCTTTTTTTCTAACCTGTGAAATTCTTCAGCGAAAAGTTTATGAAAATTAACGTAGTTCCAATAACTTCTATTATTAGGTTTCGAATTTTAACTGAAAAAACTATTCAAAAAGTTTATAAAAAAAAGATTATAAAAAAAACTCAAGATCAAAGTGCTTCACCGTGTCTTTGAAGTTAAAATATAATGAGAGACGTACTTAGCTTTATTAATTTAGGTTAAAATTAACGATGCTAGTGATAAAGGGCATTCCGATCACGAGTTAATGGGTTCCTATACAGTCATTTGATGTGAACGATATTCTAGGACAAACCTATATCGTACTTACACTATATATTTTCAAATTTAATGATTATGATATTGATATGTAATCTTACCCACAAATTCCAACCCAAAGAGTTTCCAAGTGCCACGTTTGGTGACAATGATAACTTGAGGGCATACGTTGCGGTGGATCTGACGCGCCGTGTAGTGCAAGAAATGCAGTGCTTCGATGATCTATTACAAAAATTGTAAACATATAAATTACTACAAAACAGTAGATCCACGATTATATCCTTTTTACTATTTCGGAATTAAAGGGTTTTTATTCATTTACAAATTGCTTTGATTTTCATTGATTTGGGAATTGGGTATAAAGCTGACCGTAATATCGGAACCGGTGATTACGTAGAGTAAACTCTTTTGAGTGACAGCGGCCGACGTAATTGGGCCGCATCGGGCCAACCATTGAAAGTTATGAACTAACAATAAATAACAGTAAAACTCATTCGTTTGCTTGAATATGGAATAAATGCAAATTTAAATTTTCATCATCCATCCATACTTTGTCATATAATTGACATCGACGAGAGTTACCTGTTGCATTTTTTATAAGTAAATAAAATTATGTTTTAAAAATGTTCTTAATTATTAGATTCTTTGTATGCACAAACATTCCTAACAGTAAAGGTTATAGAGCTTTTGAAAGTGCTCGCAGACGGCAGTCTTATATCACTGGCATTGAGTAAAACCTATTATTAGATGAAAAGTTATCGAGGAAAGTACATTAAGTTTATTTCATTGTTAAATGCAGTTACCTGAAGCAGACCATAACGCAGCTCAAGGTCTATGAAGTAGTACTCCTTTGCGAAAGGAGGTCGCACCGGAGACCCCGTTGGAGATGGTGAAGTCGGCGTGCCCGGCGGCGCAAGCGTTAACGGATGGGGCATGACCGGCGGTTGACAATTCGGCAGTAAGGGCTCCGACTCCTAAATAATATTCAAGATTGTAACTGTTGCTTTTGACTGCAGTGACAATTGCATTAATAAATATTGTATTCGTTTTTACGTATAGAATGAAAGAGATGACATTTTGTAGTAAACCGGTATCTTTTGCATGTTTGTTGATAATAAATATTTAACGGTAAATCTTCGCGTAATTGTAACGCAGTATATGACGACAGCATTGCCATTATTTTTATTCACTTTAAAAATAGAGATAGTAATATTGTTCGTTTATTGAATTTGAAGTTCACGGTCCAATATTTCTTGGTGAAAATTGGTATCGACCGAATCTTCGCTGCCATCTTTACATAAAAGTAATAACATGGTTTATAATTAAAAAATGTAAAGAGTCAACTATTCTATAGAAATAACATTGGTCTAGTCTTTGTAAACAATCTCTGAATATGAACATCTAAGTTACAATAATCCGATTTTCTCGAAAGCTTCAAGCAATGTAAACCTTTTACTTACTATAAAACAAAGCGAAGCAACCTTGTCATTCTGTACTCTACCTTACCGAAAAAGGTTTTGGTAAGTAATATGTCATAATAATTGATATGGTATTTTTTTAGACCAAGTTACTGTCACGATATTTAAAAACTCTATTATGGTGGAGGATCTCTCCTAAACTAAGGGTGATGGAGGTGATGGAGACGTAAGTCTATTTTAGTTAGTACTTACATGCCATGCCAGGATGTTATGGAGGCTGGCTAACACGGACTCGGATGCGAACGCGATGGTATAACTGCCTTCTTCCAGGGAATGGATGATCTGGAGCATCTTCGGGTTACGCAACTTCTCGAGCTGGCTGACGCAGTAGCGGATCCTCTCGATCATGATCTCCTTGCGCTTCGGCTTGTACAGCCTGTCAGCTATACGCTTGTCGAATACGAACACCGAACACTCCTGTTAACAAACACGAACATTTATTGTAGATGTAAGTATATCCGGTATAAAATTACCCGATATTGTTTAGTAGTAAGTAAACTCTTCGCCTGCTAAACTTGAAGTAGTGGTTACTAAGGGCGAGTGTACATTTAATGAAACAAATCAACACTAAGAGACTGATAATGTAAACATTAAATTATTCTGCACAGATCTGTAACATCATTTATGACAAGTTATATAGGTTTTAAGATTAATGTGTTTTTAAATGTGTCGAGGCAAAAGTATACTGTTTTAAGCCAATTGATGAATGAGGAATTTTTCGCTAATTGACGTATGAGGGAATAACGAATCGAGCTTTTAAATGAAATTAAAAAACGACAGCAACCACGTAATTTAAAAATCCTTAATAAAAACCCAAAGTTTTTTTATTAAATTAAACATTTTATTACAAATTCAGTATAAAGCTTTCCATTCGTATGTCATGAAATTTTCACTAAAATAGTCGACTGAAAAACAAATTGAATTTCCAACTTAATCCGATTTACGAAAGATGCGATTGAAAAGAATAAAATTGACATGATACAAGTGAATATAGGGGTAAATTAATCTTTAAATCTTAGTTAGAAAAAACAATTAAAGAAAGAAAGAAAGATTATCACGTACGTACACTATTTAGTAGGGCAAAATAAAGATTACATTAAGAAAACAAAACTCGCCACTTAGCTAATATAATAAAAGAAGTCTGAAAGTAGCACCAGTTGCAAATTAAGAAGCAAAAGATTAGCATTGTATGTGTAAATAAATGAATATTCTAGACAAGAGACTGCTAGAGCTACACTAAATTCAAATTCGTATTCTATCTACTCTTCTAGGTTACAGGCGTGAGTTTTAGTTACTGGTGTTGTTTTTAAAGGGCCATAATCTAATTAAATGCTATGAAATTCTCTTGGTACATATTCAAAGTTACCCTTTAAACTGTTCTATTCGTTAGTTTAACAATCCTGATTTATGTTAGAAACTAAACTCTCAACTTATCTCATTATAAAATCCCCGTCATTATTGTGAAACTGCAAATTAACTCGATCCGTAGCAAACAACTTTATACCTAATTGGAATATATTTAGATGTTTACAAAACAAAGTTTCCAGGTAATAAAGAGATTATGTTAAAAATACTTAAGGATTAGACTACTTTTACTCCGTATTATACTTAATACGGATTTAAAAAGGGCTAAAATATTATATTGTTGTTATTATCATCTTATATTATTCAAACTTTCGTGAGACATTATACTAAACTGATATATATCCGACTAGTTAGTGAGCTGAGGGCCGCGTCCGCGAAATAATACCAGTGCCACTCATCCTGATGAAGGGCCCCCGATGGGCTCGAAACTAGTCGGTGCCGCCACCGGACGTATATACGTGAGTGTTTAGCCGTGTTTATATATCAGTTTATTATCATCTTAATACTATTATGTTTTTTTTGATTCCGTATATCTTCCTACTATCTATGGTGACTCACATACCATGGTTCCAACCAATTTTCAGCTCTATGCGTGTTTTTCTAAATACAATTATCATGTGTAAATTGAAAAAAACTAATTTCAACTGTTATAATCGCAATATCTCAGAAACCGTAACTCTTAGACAAATGTATGTGGATGTTTTTTGAAGGTTCATGGTCTACAACTTGATCTAAGATAATTTTTTTTAAATCTTACCATTTTGCCAAAAACACAAATATTCCATTTTTGGGAATTTTCACCTTGTCTTTTTTTTACAATAAAGTAGCTTTAGTGATTTTTCAGGGTTATGCTTGTGACAGTGCTTCGAACATTCGTATCAATTTTCAGCTCTATTTATCCTCTTTTGAAATATTAAAAAATATATAAAGAGAAAGTCTTTCTTATCCTCGTTTGGGATTACGGTGGGCTGTTTGTGGCTGTCATAAAAAAGCAAGACTATTTTTCATTCACACGGACCTTTTCTCTTGGGTAATTAGGAAATAAATTACCTCCAACATTCAATTTCGTTTTCCTTACACATCAAAGAGCGGCCACGATTTTTTTTATTATAATACGTGACTATAAATATACAGATCTATTAATAATTCTATACAAATATTTTCGTTTTATATGTTTATATCATAATGTGGCAAACCAGCAAGCGACCACGTGATTCGCTAAAATAGCGAAGTGATACTTTTTTGACAATCACATAGCCTTGACGGTGACATTGAAAAAATATTTTAAGTGACTAATTATGAGCTTCTAAGACCGAAATATCCCTTATAACATATTTTTATGTTTGTTTTGTTATAGAAAATGTCAGGGATGAAAATATGTTTCATACAGAGGTTTCAGAAACCCATTGTAACCGTCTCGTCGTATCCTGTCTTTCATCTTTGACAAAACAAAAATAACAATATGTTTTAAACTGGAATTTTGGTCTCAGAAACGCACGGTTAAAATCATCAAAAGATAACAAAAATCATAGACGATTAGTGATAATTAAAGTTAGTAAATATTATCGTTAGTCTGCAAAACTTATTAGTGAACACAAATCCAATATTATTCAAGATCAAAACTTATTAAGAAGTTATAAACTTCTTAATTTTACCTTCTCAATGAATTTACTTGCGAAACTAAGTTACAACATAATAACTTAGCATAGAACAAGCTAATAAAAACTTTAATGAGTAAACTGTCCTAAATAACTTCAAATAACGTAGGCAGATGTTAGTATTGTAAATAAGCGATAAAGTTAAAATCAATCGGTAGAAATTTTAATCAAAGTCAAGTTTTCGAACTGTAATAACAAAACTTGCCCTGTTATTTAAAACAATAAGATTTTAACTATAGTTTGCTTAAAAATAATTACAAAATTCATCTCCTTTCAAAACGAAAGGTCAAGCATATTATGCTGTTACACGTCCTCTTTCCCTTCCTAACCTTTTTCTTATAAGGAAAGGGAAGTGGAAGTGGACTATCTGGATGAGAGGATGCATGGAAAGGGAAGATATTTTCTTTCTGTACATCCTCTTCTCCGTCGAAAGATAGGCAACGCATACGCAATTGCGTATGTCTATGGACAACGGTCACTTCGCTATTTCAGCAATTTCAGGTGGCCGCTCGCTCGTTTGTAACCTTATGATATAAAAAAAGAAAAACCCGTATTTGAAAATCCATTCTGGCCACTGTAGAGTTAAAATAAAAATAATATTTTAAGCCAGATCTATCCGTTTTCTATATTTTTTTCGTTTTTTGTATAATTATGGATAACAATTAGAAAAATTATATAGATACAAAATAATTGCTCAGCAGCCATTTGAATTTTACTAAAAAGCTACACAATACATCACATAAAATACCAATTCTCTCATGTGATATTTAAGTAAACAAATATTTACGAAGTGAAGTAATAAAAACGTTAAATGCAAAGAAACGGTATGTTCAATTAAATTTTGTACTGATGAACGCAATGATATAAACATGTGACATATTAATGGATGACGTCATTTCCAGCTTATGAGATATTGTGTCCTTGACCTAAATTCATGTTATAACGTTATTATACCTAAACAATTTTTACATCTATTTATTTACAAGACATTGTTTTATGCAATAACTAGCTGTCCACGTGGTTATACAAAAAATGTAATTAGTCTAGCCTATGTGTTCTTTCAGACTATGTTCTATACGTATGCCAAATTAAATCGAGATCCGTTCAGCCGTTGCATCCATCCACATCACATCCATCTAAACATTCGCATTTATAATATTAGTAAGTTAAATAAAAAGTGGCTCTTCAAGGCATAAATTCGAACAAAAAAATGAATAAATAGTATCCTATGTGCGTCTTATGGCTCTAAGCTACCTCCTCACCAATTTTCAGGCATATCGGTAAAGCCGTTCTTGAGTTATAAATAATGTAACTAACACTAACTTTTATATATAATATATAGAAAGAATATGTAATATTTTAACATGACATCTCTTATGTAAACATGCAAACATGAATATAAAAAGGTTTGGCACATTTATGTTTTTAAAGTTTCAAATGAAAGGGAAATTGAGCATCACATATTGCATATGAATAAAAACTAACAAAATTGTGATATAAAGCGAGTTGATTCATAGTTATACATTACTTAGTTTACACCGACCGCAAGACAGATCCCGAACCCTCAAGTTTTAATTAATTTCAATAGACACTAATCCCCGAGATAGTGTTCTGCATCGAGCGTTCTAAACCGACATTTAAATATACCGCTTTCAAATATATACAATAATACACTAGCTGTCGCCCGCGACTCCGTCTGCGCGGAAATGAAAAAAAGACTTAATGATTAGCCTATGTGTTCTTTCAGACTATGTTCTATATGTGTGCCAAATTTCATCAAGATCCTTTGAGTCTTTGCGCAAATACCTCTAAACAAACATCCATCCCTACATCCAAAATTTCCTACTTATAATAATATTATATTAGTAAGATATTATATGAATTAAGCTCTATTTTTAGAAGCTCTAACAGTTAATATATTATATTTGATGTATCATTAATGTAACGAAATATATTCAGTTACGTGTTTTTTCAAACTCACGATTTTAACCAATTATCGCCGCGCCGCCGTCTAAAACATTTCTCTTAATAAAACTTTTTTCTCAGTCATATAATAAGCCACGTGTTACATATTTTATAATATAATAAGCGTATTATGTAATGTTGTAACAATTTGGAAAAAAAAATCTTCTTTAGAACCAATTCCAATTCTAAAATAACACTGGCTACCAGTAATATAATAAACCAAGCCCATACCTTATATTTGCAGCTATATTCATTCCTAAATGTGCACGTAAATGTCATTATACGATTTGTTTTTTATAAAATAATTTTGTTTTCCATGTTCCAGGTGATGACTATCGGCAGTCGCAAGATTGGCCTTCCAGTATACAGTGGAAAGCTTTGGGGAAGGTGCAGCATTAAGTAAACACTGTTTGCTTATAAGATTTAATTCTATTTAGACGTAAGGGTGTATATTTTTAATCATTCGCCCTATTATGGGTCAAAGTTGCTGCATACGCTCCAATAACCAATGAAATCTGTGTCGCGAGAAACACGGTTTAATTAATCGTAAATCTTAAACGAAAAAATTAAATTATACTAAAATCAAACCTATCAAAACTTAACATTCAATTATTAAGGAATATTCACTTTTAAAGTATTATTAAAATAATTTAAAAATAAAATATCGTTAAAACTCCTCTCAAGTAGGGTTGGCGACAAGCCGTCCGTAAAAAAATAATTAGGCGAAAATATTATGGTTTATAAAACCTTTTGTGCCATCTCACGTGAATCCAGAGAGATATCTATTCTATAATATTATATTTAGAATAAATGAAAACCTTTAATTAAAATAAATAATACTATAATATTCTTTTGTAACAGAACCTTTGTCTACATGAGCTTTGTGTGAGGATAATATAAAGGTCGAATTGAATTGTGAGAAACATATATTTTTTTAAGTTTTAAGCAATCTATTTCTATGGCTGGTGTTCGTGGTAAGAGGATGGATGGAGGATCAAACATAAACAATATGTATCCTTCTTTGAATATATTTAAATATATTAACGTACAAAATTTATTTATTTAAACTCAACATCTTTATTCAGTTAATTTAAATAACCTTCAAATGAAATATTACAAATACGTAACGATTAATTTAGTCCCTTTTTATGTCTAGGGGGAATTTATCTATTTGAATATTTACTAGTTTGCGTGTTTTTTGCATTGAATAGACTCCAAAAGTACTGAACTTATTTGAAAATTTGTTTCACTGTTGGAAAGCTGCTCTATTACCGGGATCATATGCTGAACTTCTTATTAGATTTTTTTTAATTCAGCGCGGACGAAGTCGCAGGGAACTGTAAGTATTTTGAAAATTCTTGTCATTGTAAATATTATATTTTAATGCGATTTTTCTTTAATTTAGACATTTTAATGCTTATTCCATTTACAGAGAGACTCTAAAAGCAATTAATTATGTAATAAATATCATTTATGAAAGGAATTCAAATATGAATGCCATTTTACGGCGAGCGGAGTTATTAACTATTAAACTACGACTAATTTAATTAATTCTTGTTCAATATTTTATTAAATAGCAATTTTAATAATATTCCGCTAGCGCAGGTTTTGATTATAATTTAGTTGTAATGATTCGTATTTTAATATTTGCATAGATTTGGTAATTATATATAATTAAATAAAAATTCATTAAATTTGAAACAATTTTTTATCATTTTTTACCGGTTTATATTTGACATTTTGACACATCAATTGAAATTACACGTAGAGAATTCGATCGACACTTCGCAATAGTAGCGTTTAATGTGTAGCATTCATGTTCGGTTGATTCTGAATAGAACCGACCGACTACAATCTGTAAGCTTGGTGGAGTGGAATCATCGTGGAATGTTATTACACGCTATTGCCGGCTTCCAATGAACTCGCCTCAGATGAGTTAAAAGCGGTTGACTAAATCGTTCGTGTAAACATCACCATTGTGTTGCTTTGAATGCAGTTAATTATTCGGACTGTATATGTGACATCGAATCGATTTTGAATGGGATACGTATTTTATATGTACTTATTTTATACTAGTATACGTAAGTAAGTAGTCATAAAGTTATAATATAATGTTAGTAAGACATCAGATTTTATTTTATGTTTTCCTAGTATCTGGTCGATTAACGCCGAAATCTATATTTTATCTCCAACCAAGTTGCTTATTCTCGGTACTTTTATTAGTAATTTTATCGATTAAAATTTAACAGATCCATATCATGTTGCTAAAAGAGAGAACGATTAATTTTAGTATTTTATTTTAAGCATAGTAATGAGATAATTTTCACATTTCAAGGATCGAAAATTGATTGCGGCCGTTAGAGAATCATGAATAACTAAGCCAATGATGAAATATTATTAGCTTACCTTTCCATCGCTCTTCCTGTAGGCATCGTGCACTCGCCACACCAGGCCGGGCCCAGCATTGCAACACTCATCGCCCACCTCGAAGTATTGCAATATTGGGTTGTTCTCCAATGGTGGCGGCGAGCTGCACACGCCGATCTTTAGCTTCGATATTATCGTAACCATCCCGGATGTTACAGCGCTGGCAAGTGACACGGATTCAGCGTCGACGGACTGCGAGTCACCCCGGCTTGAACCTGAAACAAATTATAAATTTTAAAATTATGAACGACTATCCCTTAAAAGACTTCAATGTGCTACGCATACAAGGTAACGTAAATCCTACAAACCCGACGATTTTAGTCGCAAAGCGACTTCCGCAATATAATTTTGTAAATTTTCGTACATAGCGCACGTCGCCGACATTTTATTTAATCGTCGTCAATAGTCCCTTGCAACCTGTTTCTCAGGATCAATGCGCAAAAGTAACCATGTTTTTCATGATTTCGGAGCAAATCTATATAGTTGACGTGTCGACGATTCATCGATGCTACTCGATCGATGATACAATATTAGTCTCGAAGATCTACATTGTCTTGTGTACGAAAAGGCTAATGTTAGATATCATAGAGCGTCGCTGGCGTAGTGTTTCTGCACTGGATTTGTAATCCACTAAATTGTAATCTGCCGGACCTGCTGAAGCTGTTGATGACTATTCCTTTAGATTTAGAATATAACGGTTATCGATGATGAATAATTATTATAATTTATATTAAGTATCTAAAATATTATCGTGCATTTAAATGCTAGTTTGCCTGCCCTTAATATTTGTGATTTGTGTAGATACATGTTGTTTAAGCGGGTCCGCGTTATTTAGTTGAAGCGCTATTTAATTACCTTTGCAACACTGTACAAGTTTCACAGGTAAGCCGAAAATTGAAAGTCAATATTAGTTTATGCCATCAATTGGCTTGATTGCTCAATTTAATGCGATTGCATATTAATACAATGTAATTATAGGTAAGTTAAGAAAATATTTGGGGATTTATTACATGTCAGCTGATAGAAGGGTACTGTAGATTAGTGTCTATATTTATGAAAGTTTAAAAAAACAATGCTTAAATGACGTAAGAAGTTTATATTTGTTATTGTCGGATAAAAGCATTCTATGGTTCAACCATTTGCACTTTTGTGGTTTGACGCGAGCGAGGCGTTGTCGTATGCAGAACGAAATGAAATGCTGCGATTCTAACCCGAAAACTAACCACAAAAGCGATTCTCTATCTGTTCTTTGTTTTGGACCGTATTTTATCTCATTATTTTGCATCGAGCATTATTTTATCTTAAATTTACTTAGGTAATCATTTCCTCCTGCGGAAAAAAACGAGAATTAATTATTCCAAATTTATTATACAAAAAAAAACTATTCAACTTTTACCTAATGTTTAACTTTACATACATATTACGATATGTGATTAGTGAAAACTTTACTTATTTTTACTTATTATATATACTTATTATATAATAGTTACAAATTAAGTTATTAAACAATTATAACAATATCATGTCTGTTTCAACAATAATCCGATTATGCTTTTATATTTTGGACTTAAGCCGGCGGGTACAGTTAATGCCGTATTGCTCACAAACCCTGGCTTGACCCGTGACGTAATGAAGTGACCTACTTAGACGCCCGGACCTGCCACAGGTGGCTGAAGTGCTTTGAGTCAAGCTTTCGGATACGTTTAGAAAGTGATTGATGGCATGACACGTGTGTAAAGTTTAAATTACTAACATTATAAATGCGAATATTTAAATGGATTGAAGTTTGTTAACGTATACGTGAAACATAGTCTGATAGAACTTATAGGCTACTAATTAAGATTTTTCTAATTCAAGGACGGAGTCGGAGGTAAATGCTAGTCATTTAAATACTTAAAGCAAAAACAATGTACCTAATTTTTAAGGTAATTTTGGGATCAATGTAAAAATAATTACACAAGCCAAGTTGAACCAAATAAGCTGACACTAAATAAACAAGTATCTACTTATAAAGGACCACAATCCAAAAAGTAATTTTAAAATGGATAGAATTCGAGTTATATTCCTTAGTAATTCTGCCTTTGCAATGCTAAGTCTACCACTTGTACACGTATCTTGAATATATTTGGTTAAACGACATATCTGGTTTGCGAAGTGATATCAATTGCCTTTCACAGAGTATTCTACTTATTTCTTTTTTTTTCTCCTAGATAGCTTTGAACGCAATAAGATCCTAAAATATTTGGGACAGTGTCGAAATAAACAATAACGTGGATAGCAAACTATTTTTTTTTCTGTGATGAAATACAATTCTGCTATATTTAAATTCCTTTAAGACTGTTTTATTGATAATATATCGTTTATCTACTAATTCTTGTATAATTTATTTTATTTCTAGTAGTCTAAATTCAAACTGTACGTACATTTAAAGTGTTGGTAAATTAAAAACTGGTTCCCCTAATACTATTTCATGAATAAATTAAAAATTCCAAACAGCTATTGTCGCGCTTTGGCAGTAAAATCAGTTTTTCTGACTACATTATTTTTCGTATCCATCCCAGTGTTGCTGAAGCTCTACTTTTTACGAGAAAAGTTATCCATAAAATTTTATTCATGGCATGATCCTTAAAGTAGCTAAAATGTTAACTTTAAGTTTGGTAACTCAATTTGTTTATTAAAGAAAGAAAGAATGATAAGACATTCAGTGTAAGAATACGAATCGAGTGACACCTCAAACGTTAAAATCGGTTATATCCTTTAAACTACAGACAAATACACATAAAAATCCGTGAATATTACCCTTGAGGCAAGTAAAAATAGAAATGCAATAAAGTCATGTTTACACGAGTAATGAAAATGAGAAAGTTGCAGGTTGTATACAACGGTTGACAATGTCGCGAAGTTAAACTTACCTAAGTACACAAGCAGACCTGAGCATATTTACTTAAAGTAAATATTTCTCTTTTAGGATATTTCTGGAAGAGAATTTTTAGTTTTGTAGCTTTATTTTCGCCAACGTACAAATTTACCAACGGAATGGATGCTACTTGATACATTGTTTACGGAGGCGAGTTTAAGCGTCTACAATTTGCGACCGTAGGACCGTTCTGTGATTTAAAATTTTACAGAAATGAATTTTAATTTTCTTAAAGTTTTTATTAATGTGTTGCGGTATAACATTTTTTTTAAATAGATGAAGATCTGCTATAAATTTTTAAAGTGGAAACTAATAGAGCGGATCAAATTACCATTAATTTAAAAATAAAATTGGCGTTCGTGGTTGTGTAGGTAACCGTGCGTTTCCACTGCCAAAACATGTGTGGAAAACGTATTGTGAAAAGTCTTTGAATACGGAGATAACAATACGTATTACGTGCAGGTATTTGTGAAAATTGTGTCCGTTCTATTGTAAACTTTAGAGAGTCAATCGGATTTACAGACTTTAAAGATAAGATGTTGTTCTTATTCTTCGACGAAGTTTCAAAGCAGCATAGTAAGTTAGTTTGTTTTAAATAATATTTTATTACTTTTGTAGTATTAATATTTGGAAATATATTAAAACTTATATTAATACTTAAGATTGACAAAGGTTAGGTAAGGTTATTGGACTCCTTTTGTAAGAAAAGAGGAAGCAAATTTACTAAAAACAAAGAGTTTGACGTGTTATAAAAAATACGACAGTCAAAAGAATATTATTTTAGCCAAGAAGCAATTGGTTTATCTTGTTCGTATGTATAACCACTCAAACAGTTTAAGCTACAGAAATTATTTTCTCTCTAAAAATATAAGTCAAACTGATCCTACTCTGCGTATATATGCAAATGTATTTAAAACAAAAATGTATTTCAGTTTTAAGATTTACTTTTTAAAATATAAAAATCATTCTATATTTTTAAATACTTCTACGGGGATTACATTTTATGTCTTTGAAAAACAACGTGGTGTTGAGAAAAAAGTTTACGTGGTTCGCAATGGTGGTGGAAATATTATCCAGAGAGATGATGGGCACATCAAGATGTAGGTAATAAGATTGAATGCAGATAGCAACAAAGGTAAAGGAAGATTGATGTGTAAGGATGGATTGTGTGAACACAGATATGACGGCTGATAGAGATGTATTGAGAAGTATCATGTAAGTACATACAGTACTCCGCGGGGAATAAATCAATAAAATATTTTATATATGAAATAAAGAAGTATTACAAAATCTCATAAATTCAAAATGTATTTTTTGGAAGCAAATACGCTCTCTGAGTCAAAATCAAAATTCGTCGTTTCATTTCAATGTAAAAAATAAATATTTTTAAAGGACAAATTTCGTTAAGATTAGGCTGGCATTATTATTACAAATAACACAGCGCATTCCGAGGTCACATCTGGGGCTCGAATACGCGCCCAAAGATGCCGTAGATCTACGGTAGGGTAGCGGCCCCGAAAATCAATATATATTTCGAGTTATCTCTACAGACACGCCGGGTATCATACCGGTGAAAAGGCGATTTACTCTACTCTATGCAATAACAGAATTCAAATGCCTTGATTTATAGCATTCCATGTGAATTTTCAAAGGAAAATGTTGAATACATTTTGAATTTGTGACAATTTTATTGTGGGTTTTGAAAGCAGTGACACTTGTAGCAACAAATATTTGTTGTCTCTTTCATTCTTTTTGAAAAAAAAAGAGAACAATATGTGGTAACACAAATCGCTTGATGTGATGATCTAATCGACAAGGGCTTAAAGATTAGTTCTATATATTACGTTTAATTACTCATGTTTAGTACTTGTTTTCGGTGTATTTTGGACTAATTTTGAAGTATTTAGCTAAAATAATTTAGTAGACCGACCTTGCTGTTCAAAATCCTAATGTATCAGGCGTGAAGTGGAAGCAATTTCGCGTTTCGTCTGATGAGTGTGCGTCCCGGAGGCCTAATTCAGTCGTCTTTCCCTTCCCACTGTTTTTCTTATAGGGAAAGGATGGGAAGTGGAAGTGGACGTTCCGTATGAGAGGATGCATGGAAAGGGCAAATATTTTCTCTCTGTGCATCCTTGCCTCCAGCGATTACAGGTAAGCAACGCATATGCAATTGCGTATGTCTATGGGCAACGGTCACTTCGCTATTTCAGCGATTTCAGGTGGCCGCTCGCTCGCTTGCCACCTAATGATGTAAAAAAATGTTTTACGTGGGAGATATGGCCAGGGAATTCATGACAT